AGGGGCTGTCGGAGGGGCTTCAAACAAAGCAGAAGCCGTCTTCTTCTCGAGCCATCCCAGGTGGGAAACCTGCAGAGACAGAGAGATGAAACCGCCAAGCCCACCAGGGACACAGCACAGGCGAAGGTACGCCGACGAGGAGTTACCCGGTTCCTCGGAGCTGGCTCGTGCCCCTGCGGGAAAGCCGAAGCTTCGGTAGCGCTGGCAGACTCTGGACCAGTACCCAACAGGACCCAAGTCTGGCCGCAGAGTGAAACCCCATTTGCTTTTCCTTGTCCCGAGTCGGCTTTTGCAGTTCCGTACGCCAGCTGCCCCACGCACGACGCTATAAGCCAGATTTGTCCCTGCAACTGAACGTTACAGGCGCGCAACAGCGCAGGGGGGGTGTGGAGGGGCCAAAACCCCAACCCGCCGTACCGCCACCCCACCGGCTCCCGGCACGTCCTGCCCATCCAGCACAGCCACCACACACACGCTGCCCTCCCCCCTCCCAGCTTAAATCGTGTAGGAGAACGTGTTCCCACCCTACAAACGCCCCTCGAGAGGGGCAGGGTAAAGCCTTCCCACCAACAGAGTCTCATTTGGGGGAAAAGGTAGTTATTATAATTATTTCATGAACTCTCTGCTCCCAGCTCCGCTCTCTCTAAGAAACACCCTGACATTCCAACGGGGGAAAGGATGCATAGGACTGTAACTCCTGATAACAGCTTCCTTGTGTAATACTGTATAGTTCTTACAAAGCTGAATAGCAAGGGGACTAATGTATTTCTACACACAGGCGTTGGTGTTTCCCAGCCTCAGCAGGTCCAGGGGCAGTAAGGCTGCGTAGGAAGGCCACAACAGAACAGAGAGCTCCGAGCTTCCACTAGCTTGGCTCACTGCTCCTCTGTAATTACCGCTGTCAATTAGCTCAGCTACAATCTCCACAGCGTGACTTCGTTTCTGACAGCAGCAAAGAGCTTTCGAGTCGTATAAACTGAGAAGCAGATAGTTACTGCAAACCCTTATTTCTTTTTATAGGCACTAAATCTGATTTATGGTATTTGACTCCGAGCTTTTGCCTGTCAAGAAACACAGAGCAGCCGGCACGCTGCTTCTCCTACCTCCGGCGCTCTGCGTAGCGAGGGCAGAGGAAACACATGCAAAAGATTACAGAGATAGACCGCGCGCAGAAGCTCTTGCCAGCCCTGACATGTCCTTGATCACATCCATATGCGCTTGAAGGACTGAAGGTAGTTTGTTTTTACTGGGTAAAGCCCGGGGAACAGTAAGCTAGTTTGCAGCTAGCGCTTCCCTTAATCCGCTCCTCACCACTTCCCCCCCGTGCCGCCTGCAGTCACTAGAAAACTAAATCCGGAACCCCAAAGCCGCCTGAGCTCCAGTTCAGAGCAGTTCAGCAAAGAGCTTCCCTCTGGGAAAGAGGGAAAAACCAGGGGGAAAAGGAAGACCAGAAACGTGGCAATAAATAAACGGAACGGCAGAAGCCCCAGCAGGTCTTACCCTACGGCAGAGGTACACCAGGTACTGCTGAAGCATTTTGCTGATTCGAGGAGAAAAGTACTCCAGTCGCCAGCGCAAATGCCACTGCCCGTACGGAACTGCGCTCTTAAACCTGCACCATTTACAATCTCGTGCTTCGAGCGGTAACACCAGGATGAAGGACAAATTTTAGGTGTAACGGGAGGCAGCCAAGAGGGAGATGGACTAAGACCCCTCCGTTGTGGTGAAGAAAACAACTCGGATGGAAAGTGGAGATTCCAAATGAGCCGCCGTGTCCTGGCAGACAACAGTTTCACTACTGCTTCTGTAGAAGCACTGAGGAGCTCCACGTACAAGAGCGTGAGCTTTTACATCCTACGAGGCTTCTGAACGCGATGCATTTATAGTATTCCTCAGCGGAGTGTTGTTCTCGGGACTGTTTCAGGACTGAAACGAGAGCTGCTAGACCCCACGCAAGCGCAACTTCTGAACTAATTGGGCAATGAGGACGTTTCCATACCTGTACTTTCTGGTACAATATCTGACTTCAGTAACTAAAGAGCGTCCTCACCCTCATGGCTGGTGGTTTGGATCCACCCATCTTCCACTCAAACAGGGAATGAAATTCCAAGGAGGGAGAAACAGCAACAAGTAGTAATAAACTATCTCACCTGGTAACACCACCTGCCCAAAAGGTAGTAAGACTTTGGATCCTCTGGTTTCAGCTCAATCGCTTTATCGATGTGTTCCTACGGAGAATCATCACCAACACACGTTACGTTTTTGTTATAAGCAAATACAATAGCCACAAAAGCAGACGAGCAAATGCAGCAAGGAAGAAGTCCACAGTTTAAGTGTCAGGGATCAATAAAATTACAGCTACAAAGAGATTCCAAATTTTCTTAAAATGCTTTCAGCGAACATAGAAAACCAGCGCTCGATCAGCCTCAGAGATGAGAATTCTGTGTATTACTACACGCACAAAACCGAAGCCGCCCTTCCTTTTCTTCTACCGCCTTTTCAGAGCTTTGCCATAACCAACTCGGGGGTCACGTCAACAGCTGACAGGCAGTAATTCCCGTGGCCTGTTCCGTAGCAACTCTTCCAAGGGCACCCACTTACCCGGCAGCACCCCCGCTGGGGGGGAAGGCAAAGAAAGGCATCCGAGGCAGATTAACCTCTTTGAAAAATAACTGCTTTGCATTTACGGGAGGGCGCAAGCACACTCGCAGGCAGTTACCGAAGAAGAGATGGTGCTGCATCTTATTACCACACGGTGATTTCATGTTTCAAGTTCTCAGCCTCATCATATACGTACATTTCATTTGCAAGACTTTTCTTTCCATTTTTTTTTCTGATATGATAGTGTGCAAAAGTGCAGAGCCAGACCAGTCACCCTCATCACACGTCGCTGGCATCACCTTCCTCAGCCCAAACCGCCCACTCCCAGCGTCTCTTTGAGACCTGGTGGTCCCCAACAAGAGCTGCAGCCCATTTTCCTAACTTACTGCTATGGAAATATATAGCGTTCAATACTTACACAACAAACAGCACGTCCTTTCTACTCACCTTAAAAACATACCCAGTTTGAATGCGCTTCTGAATACTCTCATGTTCCGACAACTGCCCACAAAGAACAGCGTACCTACGCAGAGGAGACATCCGCGTCAGACCAAACCGTTCTGAACACACATTTACATTCTGTGGATATTTGATGAAGGAAGATATATATATATATATATATAAGCGCTCATTAAAGCTTCACAACTTACTGGGGAAAACAAGGCATACTAGACACCTTTTACAGGGAAGAGGCACAGACAGCGAGGATGCCACCTGGAAGAAGGCAGCGGCTTGCAGGACGGTGGCCCAACAGCAGGTGCGGGTCGGTGGGACGCGAAAGCTCGCTGCACTGACGGCCGGAGAGCCCTCCCTCTACAGAAACCCCTCTGCCCCCTGGATTTCTTCACTCGGCAACAAAACTGTGGCAAACCACAGCGTGATGAGGAGTAAACGCTACAGCAGCAAGAGCCAGAGCTACTAAAAGCTCTAATTAACTAACGTGCGCAGTGATCTTCCATAGGCACCACCCAATCTATAGCGCAGCGGTTGTCTACTTCGAGGGAAAATATTGTGAAAACATTGTGAAAACCTACCTACATCCTGCAGCCCACAGGGGAAACAAAAGAACACGCTTTCAGTGGTGCAAGTGCAAAGCCATTTAGTTTTCGCTAGTAAGAGACGGTGTATTTTCCCCGTGAGAAGCACAATACGTAGCAAAAGCGGTTATTTCAGGAGCTGTGAAAGCCTCGGCAGGTTCAGGACCCGTGGGATGGCATCCTCCCGCCTCACCGCCCGCAGCACAGCGGCTCCATCCCGCCCTCCCGCTCTCCCCGCGTCGCTGCCCCAGAGACAGCGAGTGGTGGCGGTGAGCGAGGGCAGCGCTGCCGAACACCGCGCGCCAATCGGGGTTGGGTCTTTGAGCGCTGCCATCGCGCTCGGGCGAGAGCT